CAGTGTTAGCGTTGCGCTGCCCGTGCGAGCTCGTGTGTGTGCGCCCGAACGAATGTGTGTGCGCTTGCGGCCAGCTGTCGCGTCGTCTGCGCGCGGGCGGGGTGGGACCTGTGGTGTGTGCCGCGCGCGGCGCGTGCCGGGGTGTGTGTGTCTGTGTGTGTGTGGTTCTGGTTGTTGCGCACGCGCCTGCGCCGCGTCCGTGCTGTTGTGTGCTGTGTGCTGTGTGTGTAGGGTGTGTGTGTGGCGCTTCGTGGGGCTTGCTGTGCGTTTGCGCGCTATCCCCGTGTTGTGTGCCGCCACGCGCGCGTGCTGTGGATGCTTGTGTTGTGTGCTATGCTGATGCGGCTGTGTGTGTGTGTGCGCGTGGTGGGTGTGTGTGCGGCTGTGTGCGTGTGCTGCGTGTGTGACGTGTGGTGTGTGATCTGCTGTGGTGGTGTCTGTGTGCGCGCGCGCGCGGACGCGCCGGGCATTGGTGTGATGTGTGTGGCTGTGCCTTGTGTGTGTTGTGTGTGCGGTCGTGTGTGCGTGCGCGTGCGTCCGTGGTACCGACCCTGGCCGTGCGTGCGCGGCCGCTGTGTCGTGCTGCGGCTGCCCGCGGCTTGTCTGTGTTGGTGTGCGCGCGCGCGCGCTGTGTGGCCTGTGTGGTGTGTCGATGTGTGTGGCCCATGCGACAGCCAGCCACTGGTAAAACTGTCGCAGCAGCAGCGCCGCCTCTCCTCGCTGAGCGTGCGCTACGCACGCACGCCACGCGCACGCCACGCACGCACAACCACGCACACACACACCATGGCGATCGCTGCGTGCGCGTCTGCCCGAGTGTGTGTGGCGCTACGCGCACACAGCCCCGACACACACGCACATACACACACCACCGCACACCCGCACACGTACACGCCACGTAAACGCACCCACACGCTACACGCCCACACGCACACACACACGGCAGCGCGCACGGCGCACCACACACCACACAACACACCACACAACACACACACAACGACACACACACACACACACACACACATGTATATTATTGTTCTCATATATTGTTCTCATATCAGTCCTGGACGTATCGTCCCAAAACTTTACCGTGTAAACAGATTCACCGTTGTCGTCCTAGACGACGTGCAAATCTGATAAGTTCTGGACTACGTCTAGGAACGCACTCGGAACTAAAGGCACTTAATCCTGCGGCAGGACGACACCGGGCAGTTAGATCGCATATGATAGACTATCGTTTTTACTTCAGGGTTAGGTTAGCGTTGGTAGTTAGCTTTAGGCTTTCTACGCGTGCTAGGTCTTCAGGGTTAGGTTTCTTTTGAAGTGCCTAGTAGTCATATCCTAAGTGCCTAGTAGTCATATCATATCGCATCTAACTGCCGGGTGCGGCAGAAGGGTAAGACTAATCCCCGGGCACTCTGGCAGGGCGAGCCCACAGTGTAGGGGTGGTCGGGTAGGGTAGGGTCGGGTAAGGTAGGCCTAAGTTGAACCCTGACCCTAACCCTAACCCTAACCCTAACCCTAAACCTAACCTAAACCCTAACCCTAACCATACCCAACCCGACCACCCCTACATTGTGGGCTCGCCCTGCCAGAGTGCCCGTGGTTTTCCGCGTAGTCTTTTCCGCGGCAGAACCACACGTGCATCACTGTCGGACCAGTGCTGCTATCTATCGTGACATATAACATAACTATGACAAACTATGAAAGAAGCAAACTTTTGTGTTTATCCGATATGGTATGTAAATAGAAGATCACAAGCTGTACTTCGTTAAATTTCGTGCACTTATTGTGAAAATGAAAATGAAAATATAATCATTTCATCTATCTTGAGTGAGCGGAAGAATCCATGTCAATGTGAAAATAGGCCTAGAATGTTTCCAAGCTATTGCCACAAGCTCGATAGACATGCAGCGAACTGCAGCGTACCAGTCTATGTTTACGTCAGTGCATGTACTGCTACGCAGCTACAGGGTCGTGACTCGTGCCACGGCCCACAGGCCACAGTGCGTAGTGTATTCCCGCGTAGTGCTGAGATATTGTCTTCCCGCGTGTCATACTCCTCGATTTGTCTTAAGTAAGCTCTTCTAGAAATCAGTCATGTTGAAGATCCATTTGGTCGATATCGCGCCCGAGATTGAGACCGTAAGAGTATTCTCACACTTCAAAGCCGCTCGTGAGAACTACGACATCGTCAGGCAAGACGAGACCGAATCTCCCAACGCACGAAGATCAGCCACCAGATCCCTCATAGTGACATCGATATACAAAGTCTTTCCAACAGTTAAGTTACAATACTGGACCCTCGATGAGACGGTTCCGAGAGAAGAGCCCACAAAGGGCGAGAAGGAGGCGTGTCTCAAAATAGGGTTTGCTTTTGTGTGCCACTTGGCGAAGCCGATAAATACCAGGAACCAAGACTACATTAACAAGAGGTGGGCTACGGCACAGGCCATGCTTTTGCAGAACCAGAAGGGTGTGGAGATAAGCAACTTCAGCCTATGCCCCCTAATTCTGGAACTGCTTGTGGCTATCCCAGAACTGGGGGTCATAGTGCCCCGTTCGACAGTCGCTCAGAGCATCTTAGACTTTACGGAGGACCCCGCAGATCCGATCAGGGCAGCCTTGGTCTCTCAGATGCGCCTAGTCTATGGCTATGCCGGCATGGTCGCCATTGAACAAATGGCCCGTTTTATCCACGATGGCAATAACTTAGCAATATCGATCAGTAGCGTGCTTGGAGATGCTGAGAGGTTCCAGGGTCTGTACGCTCACATCAAGGAGAAGGCTGGGCCCACTTGGCCGTTCACCCGGTCATTAAACCCTCAGCTGTTGACGCCCCTACAGTCCGCGAAGTTCCCGGACTTATATGCCGCTGCCAATACGGCTGCAGTTGAAATATACGGATTTAAACGCGAGAATTACTTGACGTCTGCCCATCCGACCAAGACGCCCATTGGCATCATTAGAAGCAGAGCCAGAATGTATGTTGGAGCGCCATCGAAGTTAAGCAAAAATACCAAAGCCAGACTGCACGGAGCCAACGCTGAGGAGATGGAGAAGATGATTTCACAAAAAAGAAGAAGGCAAGATGAAGGCGATGAGAGCGACGAGTAGTGAGAGGCTGTCGTCCGATTGATATAATAAGGTTCTTAAAAATAAAAAATAAAATAAAAAAAACTACTGTATTTGTCCAAGTTAGAAATAAAATCACATTTAACTAAGATTTGCCCGATATAGAATGTGTGTAAACTTCATTTATACATGCAGATTTTGTTGTCTGTTACTAAGTTGATAAATGGAATTGACCATGCACGGGCACCACCCCGTCTGTGACACGGCCTTTGGCAGGCTTCGTTAACGAGCAAATGCTTAGTGGACTCTACTAGTAGTGTTCATCAAGGCGCAGCAAACTGGGAAATAAGGGACAGCTGCGTGAAATAGACTATATATACTGCGGCGGTTCGTACATGCCACCCTGAGGAGGAACACTTTCTGTCACCTAGTCTTTCCTTTGGATCCGTGCGCTGGCTTTTATTATGGCGCATGGATTCACCATGTTCTCTTTTCTTTTCCGTCTGCCGCTCGCACTTCTCTTTTATGCGCGGCCAGTGCTCCATATTTGGCCATCTTCCATATCATTTCAGTTACACTTGCATCACTTCCACTGGACGGACTTGCGGCCCCGGTTATTGCACGCAGCGCACAGCCCCACAGCGAATACGCCGACCCCTTTTTGTCCACTTAGACAGATATCTTAGACAGGGGTCTGAAAACGAACTCCGCGAAAACGGGGCGGAATCCAACCGACATTTTGCGATCGACGGCTAGAGGCCATCTCCAAACGACCCCTAAAATTTTTTTGAGGTGGCGCGCCTCACGGGTAACGCGTAGTGGCTCCTACAAGAAACCCCAAGAAATACTGTCAATCAGCGACCACGCGCTCGCTCATTGGCCGCTACGCGATGACGTGCGCTACTGCCGAGTATAGCGTCATGTCTATCACAGAAGTCTGGTACGGCGCTCCACGTGGGCGGTCGCGGTCTAGATGCTATCTCCAAAACCGCCGCCGCCGCAGCGCCTGGCTGCATACGTAGCAAGTTTTTACCAACCTCCTGACCCTGCACTGCCCGTGGCGACGGCACGTCGTGCGAGCACGTGGTGGCGTGGCCGTGCCAGTTTTTACACGTAGATACTGGCAAAGCAGCAGCAGCAAGAAATACTGGCCCATGCAGCAGCAGCAAGAAATACTCGCCCCTGCTGCAGCACGCTCCTGCAACAGCAAACCAGCAGCAGCACCAAATACTGGTCCCTGCTGCAGCGTGCCCCTGGAGCTACAAAGCAGCAGCAAATGCCCCCACCAAAGGCCGCTGTAGCCGAGCCGGTGTAGGTATGACGAAAACTGCGCGATGTTACGCTTCCCGCTATACGGATTCGCGCGCCCGCCCTCCTTCGGCGCGCGAATTCGTATAGCGGGCAGCGCGAGATGCTACATACAACACCCCGCGGTCGCGTGCGCCCAGTCCCGCGGAAGTGCGTGGCTTAACCGCTCTCGGTAGTCGGGGAACAACGCATCTTTTGCACAATGCCATCTTGTACCCGGTCTCTCTGGATTACGTCTTCTTTTAGCTATGCTCCCCGCTCCTGACGATAGCTATCTAATACACACACTATTATATAGTATTATGTATATATCACTATGCATATCACTTTCAGAAAATGGCCGGTATTATCGTTTATTACCATGTACATATCTAACCATAGATAAGTTCATGCTATTACTTATGGCACGAGCATATGTATACTACACACAATATTACGAACCTAGTTAAACATAGTCATGAATACCACTATATCCGACAAACCTTTATACACAGACATGAAAATTGAGAGATTGAGAGATGAGAGACTGTTATGCTGTTCAAATGGTTTACGCATTTCAAGTAAATGTGAATAAGGCTGTAGTGCAATAATTATAAATGCCAACCAAGGACAGCAAAGAAGAGAAAACTGGTTTGTGATTTTATTAAAGGTTTATTCCAGACATACTTCTCCTAGATGCAATCTCACTTTCACGCAAACGCAGTGCTGTGGCTATAAGCGTGTACTAATTTCAATCTTTAAGAACCAGAATTCTAGAAAGAGCAGCCTTTACAAATACGCCCGTATCGGTTTCACAGCGAACAGGCAGACAGATATACTTACAGTAACAACATCATGAGTGTATGATAACTGTATAGTTTGACAAAAGATTCACGTGATTACAAATTACTTTACGGATACGTAAGGCAAACAAAGAAATGCTTGAACAATAGGAATGATTTGAGACAGACCGGCAGAGGCGAGTCTATCGAGGTAGCACCTGCCGTGACATAGCACACCGCCCTAACCTTGAGCCACATACGTATTACCGCCCAATCCGACGTGCCGTAAAGCCATGTACTTAGAATATGCTAAGCCAAGAAAATTCCTACGTTACTACTTACATAATTCTGCATTCTGTTCATAAATGCATTTATGTGCTATTTGTACTATTTATTAAAAAAATACAAGACGACATCCCACGCAACATTTCAATTATGAGTTAAAACTGATTTTGAAGTGCACAAGTCAGGAATTCACCGTGTATTTGCACTTGTGATGAACCTGTAAATTTAACATAGGGATACTGCCCAGGTTCCATTTACCTGATTAGTAGACAGTGTTCCATATCAACAATTCTGACTATTCGCCGAGCACATCACAAGTGGGCTGTCACACAGACACACACTTATATAGTATGTAATCTACATTATATAGTATTTATATTGGGCAGGTACTTTATACTAGGTGCTTTATAATAAGAAATATCATTCTTCCAAGCATGTGATCAGAACAGATCTATTACTTTAGTAGTATGGTCTCACAAATAAAAGATTCCCACAAACATTTCCTTTGCGACAAACATTTCGCATATGGGCAGGTACTACCTATATAACATGTACATTCCACGCACTATGTAATGTAGCAGATCACTGACACCTCAAGTGAAATCAAAGAGAAAAAATCTGAATCAACATAGTTATTTGGATCTGAACTAGTTTTAACATATCTTAGTCAGAGTCCACATCCATGTCTATCTGCTGTAGGTTGGCATCAGCTGGGGTGATAGGTGGAGATCCAGGAGGGAGGGGAGGCAATGCTGGTCCTTCTGGGGGCAGGGCAGGACCTTCTGGTGGGAGATGGCCTCCTTCCGTTGCAGAATTGTAGCCTTGTTCCTCCTCATCGTAATTGCGAGTGACTTTGACATCTTTCTTCTGCCAGTAAATTAACAAGTCTGACAATGTTTATAACACGTGTCAATATATGTTATATATTACATCTAAAACCAATGGTAGGTGCACCACATACACAATCAATGAAATTGACATCTCCACAACAATCATTTCATCCAAGTTAGTTTAGTCATGAAATCAAAGGTTATGATGCACAAAACATGACGTTTCGTTTAGAATGTTTTCGACATAGCGTTTCTGATTCACATGCTAGGGTGGCACGCAGTATATTCTGGGATAGCACGTGCTCATGACGTCACTATGTAAAGGGCGTTCCGGGGTTTGCAATAGCCAGGTAAGCATAAGCAGGGATTTTGAACTGTTTGGGAGATCACATACACAATAATATACTATTACATAGCAGCCCAGGGGCGCCACCTATCAAATAAAATGGGTATTGAAATTTTGACCCAATTTCACCTGCAACCCTGAATGTATCCTTAAACGGGATGTTTTCTGCAATTTTCTTCTTTCTTAAGTAAACTTTGTAAAACGATCCTAAACATAAAAGCAAACTGACGATTCTCATGAACATTGAACGACGAATGATGAGCTCATAAAACATTTTTCAAAGTTAAACTTATGTATATTGTACAGAGCGTTTTGTATAAAGAAAATTAAAGAAGGTTCAAGTATGCATGCATGTGCGACTGGAAATTTCATGGTTTCCGACCTGCTCTGAAAAAGTATGAACCATGGTATCCATGGTTCATACAGGAGGACTGAAATTTTTTTCAAGGACTTTTAAAGGACATTTTATCAGACATTTTATCGGAATTCATACACAGAACAAAACATACCTGGATTAATTTAATAACCCCATTCTTAATCACTGTCACCTCTAAAACTTACCTGGATCACATTAATAAACCCTTCTAAACACTGTCACTTCTACAACATACCTTGATTTACTGACTTATTTTACTGACTTACTGTAATTTGTGATCATCATTTAACTGTCTATCGTGTCTTTAGCTTTTTAACCTCATTTAACGAAATTTTTATTGAGGTTTGCACATTATTGATGGTACAAAATTTCTTTTTATTACAGGCAAGGATTGTTTCTAAAAATTCAAGGACATTTTCATGAAATTCAAGGACTTTTCAAGCACAAAATCAACATTTACTAAATTCAAGTACTTTTCAAGGACTCCCCTCCAATTCAAGGACTTTTCAAGGACTGCGAACCATGGTATCATTATACCATACCTTTTCTTGTTCGTTACTCTCCTTATCTCGTTCTTTTTCCTTCTCCTTTTCCTTATCATGGTCCCTGCTCTTCTTTTTGCTTGATACCCTATCCCGGCTCCTGCTGCGGTCTCTGTCCCGTTTCTTTCTGCTTCTAGAAAATATTAACACAGCGGACGGTGAAGCACATCACAATTTGTACTCAGCCTATATTTAACCATGTGCAAGTTTTTGGGTACAATTATCACACTACCTTCACAGTAGTGAAATTAGTGTGTACCCAATGTACTCCAACTGCATTCAGTGCAATTCCATGTTTACACTTACATCTAATATCAATGTTAAGGATGCATAATATTTATGCAGGGGAGTTAATGGCCACTATGACCAGGTGGCATTAGCACAGTATTGAGAGTATATTATAAACATGCACGCACGCATGCATGGCCCCACACACGTCTGCGCACACGCACGTCACGTCGTCAATACAAGCAGGTAGTACCTTCGCGGGCTGGGAGTCCTGGACCGGCGGCGCGGCGGTGGTGAACGCGTGCGGCTGCGACGTCTGCGCGGCGACCTGGAGCGCCGTCGCCGTGGCGACCGAGATCGACTGCGCCGCTTCGGCGACTTTGTGCGGCTGCGCTTACGCGGTGTGCGTGAGCGACTCTTCTTGCGCACAGGCGTGCGTGAGCGACTCTTCTTGCGCACAGGCGTGCGTGAGCGACTCTTCTTGCGCACAGGCGTCCGTGAGCGTGTGCGTCGTGCCCGCCGTGGCGTGCGCGATCGTGAGCGCCTCCTGACAGGGCTGGAGCGACGACGCGGCGTGCGCGACCGCTTACGGCTCTTCGACGGAGACCTACGTTGAACGAAGATCATGCAGCATCACATGTGGACTACTACTACAATACGACTGATCGAAGGATATATAATTCTCCTACTTTCAATGCTCGAGAGTAGTTAGTGCTGTTTTGCATACCACAGAAATGTTTTATGCAGCCATACCACCTTAATTACACACAACATACAGACCTTGTGTTTTAAGGTGCGCGATCGCGCTCGCGCGCCATCGCGCGCCTCGATTGATCACGAGAAGTGCGAAAAAACGCGCACCTAAGCATTATCAAAACGCACACCTTTTTTTTTTTTTTTGTGTTTTATTTTTCATTAATTCAACTTATAAACTCGAAGATAAACGCAAATGGTTGTAAACATCACAGACATTGCCGGAAGTCGGTTCACATATTTATAATGACAGTCGCAAAGCGCTCTAGAATGACGAATGTGATTGGTTGTATTTTTAGATAAAGTTTTAATAGTCTACTTTGAAAAATTGAGTGTTGTTCCTTTTTGACTAAACATGCTAAATGTGTGATTCACGTTATCCACATGTCCAAGAACTGATATTTTGTTAGATGAAAAAAAAATCACATAAAAAATGTCAAAATTAATAGTACAAATGCAGAGCTAATTTTTAGCCCAAAATGCTGGAAATGGCATTTCATGAAGTCTAGTTTTCAAATTTTTTCCGGAGGGGCATGCCACCGAACACCCCTAGTTTGCCTCGTGACCTGCGGGCACTCCGATGCAAATCACACACCTCGGCGAGCCAAGGTGTGCGATTTTTCACTCGCCTGCTTTTTCCAAAACACAAGGACTGAACATACACAATACATGAATGCACACAACATGTAAATATTAACACAATTATTATATTTATGTATGCTATACCTGGATTTGTGCCTTTTGGAGACTTTGTGTGACTTAACTTCTGCATCAGACGAATGCTTGTCTTTTACTTCTTTGCTTCTATAAACCAGGTTAAAAGTAAAATATTATAATATATGCAATTCAGGATTCAATTCATTAAGGGCAAAACAGTGCAGTAACAAATAAACAACTGTAAGGCTTCATGTCAAAAATCATAGCGATTTGTACAGCCACACTGCAGGTGTTAACTGCTGGTGTTAGCTCACTGTTCCTCTCGAAGTTCGTGTTCTCACATGCCTTACAGTTGCAAACATTTAAAGTTTTTGAACTCTGATAACTGTTAAATGTTACATGGGTTTACTATTGATTTCAAGGTTATGAATATCGATGATAGGAAATTGCTTTCTTTTAGCTTAGCAGCCTAGCACGATAAACAACGACATAAAACCAAATAACAGAGTCCTGGGAACCTGAAATGGTCCGTTCGACAGACGTTATACAACTCGATGACAGCTGCACAACTCAATTTTCGTTACAAAATGTTTTAGCTGTTGAAAACCTTATATACAGATATACTTATTTTTTCTGAAAAATGCTACAGGAAATTAGACAGGAATCTAAATATTTTTGTTGTTACGGTTATCTCTGGCCGTTATCACGTGTGCGCAACAACTCACTGGAAACAATAGCTTCTAATTTCCTAAATGCTACAATTGTTGCAGTTGGTTATTGTTAAAGCAGTATATCTTGACCTTTATACTGCTATACAACCTGTTCCATATAATATATGCTTAGCTATATACTTACTTACACACACATAGTGCTGTAGTGGCATGCATATATATTATTATTACAACTTTTTGGCCAGACACCAGCAGTACAGCATTGTACTTGCTGCCAGAGAATATAAAAACAGTCAGCAAACTTACTCACTAATATGAAGAAACTTTAGATAACCGTAATACGTACACTTGCCCCACCCCAACAGTACTGACCGTAAGCTTCTTCTCATAATGAAGCTGTTCATTCTAACTATAGTCACTCAATTCTTAACCAAGGTTGCACATCGAATGAAGTACGGACTTTAATGTAGAGTCAAAGTCAGTTGGAAAACAGCACACCTGAACAACTGACCATCGCTTTCAACAGAAATCGTCTGTAACTTTGGCATTTTTTCCTTGGTTCATTAGTAATTTCTTAGCAGCAAGCATTTTCTGCCGACGTTGCAAGCAGGCAGCAAATTGACCCTTTTAGTAGCAAAAACTACTACTTGCAGCCCTTAATTTCGAACCCTGTTATTATGAACAACATATCGAATAAGACAGCACAATTGAAGATTTAATTAGTATAAGTCATTACTATATTTCAACTCTCTACTAAATTTCACTACTGGATTTTTAAAACTGATATTTTCTTCTGCAAGTGACAGCCAATGTTTAATCCTCCGTAAAAGTTTGAGGGTTTTGGGGTAAAAATGATTTGCAGAGTATAACAGCAATAGTTTCAAGTTCATGTGCCCTCTGTAAGGTCAAACAATGTTACACATAAATTAGGAGCATGCCTACAATTTTTACGTAAATGGATGAATAAACGCTGGTGCCACTTCACCAGTTTCAACTACGACAGACGAACATAATTGAAAATTCACTTCATTCAGAAATAGTTACTAATATATACGCACCTCGAGTGGGACCGTGACCTGGAGCGATCCTTATGCTTCTCAACTTCCTTTTCTGGTTCTTTCTCTTTTGGCTCGTCCTCCTTCTTTACTGTAGGAATCTCTTCCTCTGGAGGTGTTGGCTTTTCCACTGCAGTAGCGGGCTCTACCTCTGCACCCTGCTCTTCATCCTTTTCAGCCGAGTCACTAGTGACGTCAGTTTTTCCGACTTCATCCTCTACCTTCAGCTTCTGAGCAGAAAAAGTAGTATAATAACAGGCCAAAATCCAATTGTCTTCTATTTAATTATCTTCTAAGTTCCATCTTCGGGCAACTTAAATATGAACTTCGATGTAGGTTCAAAACACATTTTCAGCTTAATTAGACTTACATTGTGCTTCGTACAAAATTTTCCGAATCGATATTCACTAGAGCATTATTTAAGTGTTTTTAAAACTTTAAATTATTGTTTACGTTCATTGGCGGTAGCAGCCACATGTGTTGAACTCCAATTTTTTAAGCAGCACATCACACCACACTCACAAATTATAAATAAAGTTTGTTCTCTAAGCCTTATTTCTAACCTCTTGCTTCTCCTCTTGCTTCTCTTCTTTCTTTTCCTCTCGCTTCACATCTCGCTTCACATCTCTTTTATCCTCCCTCTTTTCACTGCGCTTATCTTCTTTCTTCTCATCTCTCTTGTCCCTGTCCTTATCTCTGCCCTTATCTCTGTCTTTTCGATCACGTCCTTTTGACCTTGACCGTGACCGGCGAGGCTTCTTACGGTCCCTACAACACATACACACAGTGCGTGATACACAACTATAAAGTATCAGGACATTAGCATAATGACCATCGCTAAGCTAATATCTCAGTTTACCCAGTTCTAATCAGAGGATCATTCGGACAACATCCACCGTATCTCCGTAAATGTAGAAATGTTTGTAATTCAAAACCAGGAGGCGCGAGTGGAGGGGGCTCTAATAGCAAAAGCAGTTCAGTCCTTTGTTAACAGTCAACAAATCCACGTTTAACACTCCTCTTGAGGGTCAAAAGGTTATCAGACACTTACTCTTCGCATGTCAGCGGAAAGTAGATTTCACGGTCCTTTCAATAAAGTGATAAAAATGGTAGGTCAGCGCTGAAACAAAAAAGTTTTGCACTCGGTCCGTTAGACCATGTCCTCAGAAAATGTCTGATAGCTGACCTTTCCCCCACTGCCCTTTGACCTCCAATTTCGCGCTGGTGATGGGTTTCTTCCCCATCACACTATACATAGAATATTAAGAGTGTAGGTCGAGCCGTTGAAATTTGTGCCGCAATTCCATATTTCCTCCTATACCTTAAGTTAAGGGGGAAATATTCCCCCTCCGTTGACACATCTTGACCTTTGACCATTGACCCCCAAATTGGTCATCCCGAGTCCTTTTCACAATCCCCCCCGACGTCCCGAATATCGTGACCGTACGTCGAGCGGTTAAGATTTGTGCCCAACTGTTGACGGACAGACACACGGATCACGGAGGGACGCTCATGCGATTCTACAAGCTGCATCTGACTTCGTCAGAGGAGCTAAAAACATACAATTAAATGGGGCACCTTAAGAAGTGTAATTACTACAAACGCTATGTCCGGCATACATTTCTATGGAAAGTATCTCTCACAGATGGCGTCATAATTAACAAAGGAACTTCGTCGGGACCAGACACATTTCGGAATTCAGAATTGTCCGGATTTCGGAATGGTACTATAGTAAGGATATACATACCGTCAGGAGTAGATAATAGAGAAGGAGTGTGACATCAATAAACAAGGGAAATTCGTTATTTACTAGCCTTATAATACCTACGATTTACTACGCGTAACTCATCCAACTTGAGCTCAAATCGTACACAGTACATTCGCCTAGCATCGTGCGAAATCGTTTCCTCGTTTTTACAAGCAATCCGGAGATACAGACTAAAACGTACGACACGATTATCCATTCTTTGGCCATCAATCCAAGCCTATTCCCCAAATATATTCAAACAAAAGGCAGCTACTAACGCGCTATTGCTAACTCGGCGAAGCATGTGGCTCGCTGGGAGATTAGGCATCAACACTCGGCGAGATAACCTTTGACCCGGTACACAGCTACATGCCGGCATACCGGCATACCGGCGTACAGCAGCCCCCACTGCACATACTGGCATGCACCCACGCACCCAAGCCAACCGCAATCAGCAGCAGCTGATTGGGCTCAAATCTCCCAGCGAGCCACATTGCCCGCCGAGTTAGCAACAGCGCGTAAGCAGCTGCCTTTTGTTTGAATATATTCCGGGAATAGGCTTGGATTGATAGCAGCAGAATGGATAATCGTGTCGTACGTTTTAGTCTGTATATCCGGATTGCTTGTGTAAACGAGGAAACGATTTCGCATGATGCTAGGCGAATGTACTGTGTACGATTTGAGCTCAAGTTGGATGAGTTATGCGTAGCAAATCGTAGGTATTATAAAGCTAGTAAATGACGAATTTCCCTTGTTTATTGATGTCACACTCCTTCCCTATTATCTACTCCTGATACCGTATATCCTGCAACTAGCCAGCACTAAAATTTTTACGAGGCCAAGTGCTGTACCAGTACAGTACAATATGTATGAGTAAACTAATGCAAAACACATTAATATTTCTGCAGTGAACCTTGTTGGTGTGGCGACGACCTCTAGGAAAAAACTTTCGGTTTTCGAAGCTTTTCGGTTTTCAGATTTTTCGGATAATAGATCATGTACTGTATGAGATTGAAATGCAATAACACATTCCTAACCTTGGGAACAGTTACTGATGTTCATATGAGAAGTGGGTAACAGTTTAACCAACTGCTATCATAAATAAATATTTTATCTGCAATATGTCTGTGACATATCATTGTTATAAATTGACAGGGGCGGTCACCTGCTACGACTGCGTGATTTAGACCGGCGCCGCTTTGGCGATCGCGAACGTCGTCGGCTCTTATCCTTAGAGCGTGAACGCTTTCTTGTGGCACGTGAGCGTGAATGGGACCGTCTGCGAGACCTTGACTTGGAGCGCTTACTTCGTGATTTCGAACGATGTCCTTTAGAGGGTGATCTAAAAGTTGAGAAACCGAAAATTATAGAAAATAAATTATTATAATTACCTCCGCCAAGGGGTTGGCAGGAGGTTATGTTTTCACCGGCGTGTGTTTGTTCGGCGTGTTTGTTGGTTTGTGGGTTTGTTTGTGTACAGCCTAACTGAAAAAGTTATGGACGGATTGGCATAAAATTTCCAGGATAGGTCAGAAATGGGGTAACTTAGAATTGATTACATTTTGGTGGTGATCCGGATCGAATTAATTATTTAATTAATTAATTAATTAATGCAATTTTTCACAGTGAGAGAATTCAGCTGCCTTGGCTGAGGTCTGCGCTCTCCGAGTGCTCTAGTTATAATTATATTATTATCAAATAATACTATAATTATAAACTTGTCCTTATATACATAGCTTGGCAAATTGCAAACCTAAAATTGGGACAACAGCTGTCTCATTCTTACCATTATTATCTATTATTATCTTCTAATATATGCTCACAAGTCACTTTTACACCTGATAGATGGAGCAATGAGCTCACATTATATGAGTAACTACGGGGTACGAATTAAAGCAATTTTGCCACTGATCGCTACAGATTAAAAACCTCTGAAAACAACTAATCCGTGAAATTTCCAGCTAATCTGTAACATTGGTGGTGTGTTTGTCTGTGTGTGTGTGTGTGGCAGGGTGGGGGGGGGGATTCAGGCTGGTATGGCAGGAAAAAAAGCCATACACACCAAGCTGTTAATTTCTACTTTATTTTTATGATATATACTAGTACAAGATAGCACATATCCATAGCTCTAAACATATATATGCCCACCTATCAGAAAGGCCATATAAAAAGATTACAACGTATATTAATGCCTATGCACAGCAGCCGACCCACTGGCCAGTTACCAGAATTAAACAGACGGAATGAATACACGAAACAGAAATAATATACTGAACAGCAACACAAAATCTCATTGCTATGCTCAGTATGTCAGGTCTATTTTATGCCAGCTGATGCAGGATGTCGACTGTTTTAATGTTTCATTATGAAAGTCACCGCAAGATGGCGGGTGCAAGTGTTAACAATATCAAATAGGGCAGCACCCCTCGTTCCTCATCATTATGGAAGCCCTGAAACGACACACGACTTTTTGAGTTTCCGGGTTTCTGAATTTCGTATCGTATATAGCACTAGAGATGGAGGTCAAGCAAGGGTCACACAGGGAAGAATGTAAACAAGCGAGAACACGCACTGAGAAATGTTTTTAAGTCGAAAACAGACACACTGCGCATGCGTTATGACGGAGATTCTAAATTTAAATTAGGCCCTATGCTTTCCCGCTTAATAATAGAACACACATTTACTCTCACGGTTGGGGATTCTAAATTCGAATTATGCTATCCCTCTTAAAAAGGCACACATATTTACTTTCATGGTAGGGGATTCCACATTTAAATTGTTCTTTCCCGCTTAAAACAACACACATTTACTCTCATGGTAGGGGATTCTAAATTCAAATTGTATTTTTCCGCTAAATAACACTCATTTAATCTCACGGTAGGCGATTCTAAACTTAAACTGACTTTAATGTCACGGAATAATGCATGCGCAGCGTGTTAATATTTGGACTTCAAACATTTTCTATGACTCTCTCAACACTTTATATATATTGATCGGAAATACAGAAACTTGTAAACTCAAAATGTCGCATGTCGTCTCAGGTCTTCCATACATCTCGAGTCTATGATGAGTTTAGGTTTTGTGATTTTGTGATGTTTTGCACAGGAAAATTTTATACTAATCCGGTCGGATCAGTTGCTCAAAAAATTAGGTAATCCGGTACTGATCCGGAAGCAAAATGTGGCTACAGATTAGCAGATGAGTGTTTTATTCGAACCCTGGTAACTACAAAACCAGGAGCAAACTAAGGACAGCAGAATTAACTAGGTACAATTCAAGAAACCTCTCCAAAGCATGCGTGCATAACTTGTGCTTGGTCAGACCATGTAATATAATCCTAATCTGAACAATACCTGTGTTTCCTTCTAGGAGAAGGGGAATGACGACTCTTCGATCTAGATCGACTTTCAGTGACCTTATCTGCAAACACATTTGCTGCTCCAATGAAAAGAAGAGAGAATGAGTTAGCACACATGTCCAGCAGTATATATGTCACTGGAGGATACATTATGCCCATTTATCTCACAATGTGATATTGTCCTGGTATCATTGCATGTGACTCAAGCATAGACAACTGGAAGTAGAATCTTTTTAAAGGCAAGTCCAGTAATGTCTCTAGTTTAATCAAAAATTCAAGGGCTATATGATATATTAGACTAGAACAAAGGTAAGCATTTTGTTCAAAGAATGATCAATCAGGGCCACTTAGTTTTTGACAACACTTTTAATGGGAAGAACACAGAGACCTGCTACTGTCCAAACTCATGCACATGTGCAAAAAGAAATGCTTGCTGGATGACGCGCACAATGATCACTGGTTATGATTGCAGGAGATTAAACTTGTAAGGTAAATGGAATACCTCACCAACAGACAAACACAAGAATTATAACATCTGCATTGTACAATGTTCCTGATAAATGACTCATGGAGGTAAGTAAACTGTCTTTGCAGAAGCAAATGAAGCTATACATAACAGTCTACACATGAACTTGCTGTCCAGTAAGCTCACCCGGATCTATATGAGCCGATATCAGAGACTGAGCCTCCTTGACCTTCTTCAATGCTTCTTCAATTTCACGCTGGGCTGCCTCATTTGATTTAGTCGTTGGTTTCTTAACATTCTGAGTTGAATGATTTACTCTGAAAATTAGGAGTGAAGTTGAGGTGTGACAGAAAACAAAGAATATACATGCACATCACACCAAAACCCAACAACATAATATTACAGCTACTATTTATGACTTACTTTATTTGGTGGCCAAACAACATGGCTCCATTATATTGGAGTGCGATAGGAACTGATGCCTGGTCTGTGAATTCTACGTAGGCATATTTCGCAAGTCCATCTTCACTGCCTGCCATTCGTACATACTTCAACTCTCCCACGTGGTTAAAGTAGCTCAGTACCTGCTGTCCTGTTATCTACACATGTCACACAATAGCATTACAATAATAATTTACTACAACTATATATATATATATATATATAACTATATATAGCTCCTATATATATATATATATATAGTTTTAAAAACATTCAACACATACTTTTAAGCAAACTTGGCATGAAATTAGCAAATAGGGAATGACTATTTTGATAAATTAGCCTTTTACACATGTGTGGTCTCGAAATGACATACATTTGTGCTAAACTTCAACTCAGGTGCTTTTCAATTTACGGTTTAAGAATCATTACTAGAAAGGCTTTGCGATCGCTACTTGTCCGTGAATTTTTTCCAGCAATAAAAAAATGTAACAACGGGGTGGTATCACCATCGTCATGTACCCTACTGCCTACCATTGGACTTAAATTTCCGACATAGACCGTTCTTCTTATTTCTTCAAGCCTGCTAGCATCTATGGTTGCTGGCAGAGGAGGATATGGTGGCAAATCAAGCGCACTAAGCTTTGGGTCGAGAGTAATGATCATCTGAGATGGTCCAATACCCTGAACCTGCAATCCCAAACAGGTACAAAACAATTAGCCAAAGGATTGAATGCCTTAGTGTATTACCATTTATATTTTCACACAGTACGCGAAGTTTACCATCGTAAAAGTGAAGAGGCTTACACGATTCTACATCACATTTCTTTTCATCAAAAAACATCTGTTCATATATTATCAGTGTGACACACCGATGAGATCATATTTCTGTACAGCAACATACCTGATTGACAACATTTGCTGGCCATTTTGCGACACCGGCATTGAGCAGCGGAACTCCCGCATTAGGAGCAGTGGTCAATATCTTCATTGCTTCTACTTCCTCTGGAATTCTATCTGCAATTCAACATAAGTGACACTGAGCATATATATGTGTATCGTTTTCAGTAGAGGACCACGATTGCCGATTGTATCATGTATGGCCATAATGCAGGGGTAATTACGGATTTTTGATTAAGACAGTACAATATACTCTGCTCTCACAAAATAGGCTACAGAAAAACGACTAAGTACGCTGTCATTCAAAACGAAATATAACATCTATGCTTACTACATACTACAACTATACTGTATCAGTATAGCTGTATATGTGCTAACACAGCATGATTATTTTGGGAGTGTCAAAAGTAAGCACAGCTGGAAATTAAGACATGTGTGAGGATTTATGGGGTGCTGCAAATTAGCTTCAATTTTGAAGGCATGTTACGCCCATCATGTGTCAACGGCCTCGCGAAAATCCTCAGTATACATAGTGGAATTTCTAGTGGAACTTAACATAGACTCCTACTGATGTCAAATCAGGTTTGACAGAAAACAGGGTGTACTTAACTCCTGCACTCTTGGCACTTTTGACTGCCTGATTAAGCACCTAATATTTATGTCATTTGTTTTTTGCTACTTCTCTATCATGCATTGTCTGTTCTAACACAGAAATTTCCTAAAATACGATCTTGATTGAAATGATATATAATGCACAGACATATTAGTGGAATAACTCTAGTGAACACACGTACCTTCAATAAACCTCATGACAATGAGAGCTCTATCGATAAAGACAACATTTGTCAAATGCTGTGCTATTCCGACGGAAGGCTTGTCTTTGTATTTTATGAAGCAGATCTTTGGATTTCCTTGCCCGGTATCACTAAAAACCATTCACATTAAATTACATACATATTAGATATGTTATTAGCAATAGTCTACAAGTTGATATTGCAATTTTATAATTACATGACTAGCATTAAAGACAGGTTATGAAAGATGGGTTTCATAGAATATGTTTTGACAGTAATTCTTAAACTAGTAGGAAGCCAAATATTGTAATCTGGTTTACTTACTATAGAGGGTACATCTTTATTTCTTCTGTCTTTCCCAAGTAGCCGAAGAGTGTCTGTATTTGGTCAAGAGTGACAGGAGGTGCAACATTTGTGACCTGGACAACGTGCGTCTCAGGTTCCATAATCTCTGTTTCATCCTCCACTGCTGTCATCCTTCCCAGTGATTTCACGCTGTCAGCGTTTCCCTAAACACTGTAATGCAGTCAAGTCTTAGTAGTTTTCCACGTATTGGGTAATGCATTGATTGGGAAACGTGAAATTTGAGAGCCAAAGCTACAGTGACGGACATTTTAACATTTACAGTACATGCGACATAAACTTTCCTATTAGAATTTGCTAGAGTAATACAAACAGGACGACTAGATTGTATAGTAGCCTAACAATTTTTAAAGTGATATGATATGAGCGACTCAATAACCCTGCTAGCGTTGCTAGTGATGCTGAAATTTCAACAACATATAACAACGTTTTTTCAGTACATTTGTTTTTTACATAAAGACAAATTTTCTCATCTTTTTCATAGTCATTCCTCATTAGTACCAATCAGTTGATGCTTCATGGCTTTGATGAAGGGGCAAATATTGTAATTGTTTGAGTGTGCGCAGGCCAGAAGCAAATATGGACAATGAATCTACAGACATTTTATAGCGTATGCCAATCACCCAATCTATGACCCTAACCACCTGCAGTGAGCACCAGGGTTTAAAAGCATTATATCTAATAAATTATTTTACAACATCAGAAGTGAATAAAAACAAATTTGGGTGTTCTTTATAGAGCTGTGCGTCGGATCCGACATGAACCAAAAATCCGATCCGACAGCATTTAAAAAAATCCGAATCCGAATCCGAAATCGATGGCTATTTTGAATCCGATCGAATCCGAATCCGATGGAAATTTTTGAATCCGAATCGAATCCGAATCCGATGTGTATCGCTAAATCCGATCCGAAATCCGATCCGAAATCCGACCCGAATCCGGAACATAGAAATTGCAAATAGTGTGACAGCATCGTATAAAATTCGTTTATAATTGTTTCAACATGAAACTTTGGGTTGTTGAGATCAAGGGGTGAAGGGGGACTGTAGACGTAAGAAAAGTTAGAGAACGGGATGATCGGGAACTGGAACGATAATTTTCTTATCAAATCGTCACCTCAGTTCCACTTTGTCCTAACTTACCTAAGTGGCAGTAAGTGACATGGTGGTACGAAATTACTACGAATTTACGAAACGTCTGTCTGTACATATTCATACAATTATACATTATGCTATACGGTTATACGTGATATTTCCCAACACTAACGATTACAACACTTAAACTCGCAACTCACGTCACAATCAATAATCTATTTTGTAATTTGTGACTGTCCCGACTCCCTTCAAATAATCATCTTGACAGTAAAGCCCGCCGCACGCGCGTGTGCGCATGCAAACGCATCGATTTCACATCGTGTGTGTGTGACAGTGTGTGTGTGCGTGTGCGTGTGCGTGTGCGTGTGCGTGTGCGTGTGCGTGTGCCTGTGCGTGTGTATTTGCGTGTGTGTGTGCGCGCGTGCGTGCGTGTGTGCGTGTGTGTGTGTGAGAGAGAGAGAGAGAGATATGTGTGTGAGACAGTGTGTGTATGTGATGTGTGAAGCGCGTGCTACGCTGGCCGGATATAGTACGCGATCAATCGATCGTATACATCAAAAGCCGCCGAGTCACGCGTGGCCTTGAAGCTCGTTTTATGAAGTAGCCGGCTCAGGCTCTGCTCCTGACAGGATGGAGGTCGGATTCTACGGTCCGATCCCGGCGATCCGAATCCGAATCCGACAGCATTTTTGAAAATCCGACTCCGAATCCGAATCCAACGACAATTTTGAATCCGAATCCGAATCCGAATCCGATTCTTTAAAAATTGTAAATCCGATCCGAATCCGAATCCGATCGGATTCGGATCGGATCGGATTCGGATTATCGGATCCGACGCACAGCTCTAGTTCTTTACCCCTGACCACATGATAAATTTCATGTTTAAATCCAACTACTACAATATTTTCTTGTATGCTATAGTGTTTTGAGACAGCTAAACTTCACTGTTACTATATTTTCCTTGAGACCTGGTCCAGACTCCAGATACGTAAAAAAAATACGACTCGCCATTACGGAAAGTAAATAAATGAAACCAAATGCTGAGTTTTGGGTTCAAAGTTTGGGGTTCAAAGTAGGGGCAGAGTTCCTAACCCTAAACCTAACCCCTTACAATTAGCAATGGGTGGACATTTTATTAAATCACTAGTTAGACCAAAACAAAGATGACTAACAGTAAATGATTACTGATAACCAAAAACTGAAACAAAAATAATTTTACACACAATTAATAACGCGGAAATGAAAGACGTAGATACCAGACCGTAGGCGTATGCCCAACCTATGTGCTCTCTCTGCATACACAGGCACTTGGAACGTTTCAATAACAAGTGCCGCGGAGCGACAGCGCTCATTTCACGTCTACTGCGGTGACTGTGGTGGAGTGGTGGGATTCTAGTAAACCCTGTTAGTCCCAAATGTGTTCACATACGCGCCGAAACAGTGGAAGGCACAAGGATGATATCAGGAACCTTCTCGAAGGAATGTTCGTTGGGATCGTTAAGAAAGTTGCCCCGAGACAGCGCGTACGTTTAAGTGTCTTAAGATTAAAGATGGAAGCTCCCATCGTACGTAGTAGCAACAACTATTTGCAAGACAGAATAGGTAAGCACTCATCCATTTACCTACGCAAGCCTACAGACTGAAATAGAGAGCTGCCACCTGTAACTAATTAACACAGGTAAAAACTACACAGTACTATCACCACCACATGCACTGGCAGTGGCTACTGGCAGTGGCATAAGTTACATCAGGAGTGTATCAAAAGGAGTAAGACAGACTAAAACCGGCAAAATTCAACATTTAGTTGCCTTAGTCTACCTATGATTTATTGTGTTTACCTCGATAAACTTGAGCTCAAGTCCTGCCTTAATCATTAAACTTTATCCGTGTCTAATCGTTGGTCTCACAAAAATGACAAATCGGGAGATATCGGTCCAAACGTACAATGTGGTTTTAG